AAAAGGAGAATCCTGGACAGAGACCAGACAGTGATGCCTAAGCAGTCAAGACACCTTAGCGGGTGCCAGCAGCATCAGAAAACAAAAAAACACTGGCCATTCCCAAAACAACTGTAGGTCAATGATCGAGTCATAAGTAGCATTGTCCTACAGTTGTTTTGTGAAAGGACATTGTAATTGCTTTTTGCATTTCATTTCCAATTGACTTCATGGCTGACAGTTCTTCATCAGTATTGCACACACACAAATTACAGAAGCATATATAAGGCTGAACTCTTTCTGTGTCTGATAGCATGGGGTACAGCCCATAAATAATTATACAAAACTGTTAAGTGCCTCTTTTTTCAATAAGAGACTAGCATACATCTCTCTGAAAACTGTTTGAAATATATTCTAAGGCAAAAAAAAAAAAAAATCATGACCCATTTCCCAAAATGTATGGCTCCTTCTAGAAAGTCAAGGAGCGCAAGTCGAAAGTCATTATAGACTTTGGGAAGAGATAAATCACTTGAAAGATTCTTCTCCAGCAGCTCCTACTCGCTGCCCCTACCTCTGTTACCATAGCCACTGACAGCATCCACCTACACAGCTAAAAGCCCAGGAAAAAAAACATATACTTGCAGTGCTGATTCTTCTTCTCCTTCCTCCTCTTTGAAGCAGACCCTAATTCAAGCAGTTGCCTACTTTTGGGAAAATGCTCATAGCTTTCCCTGTTAACTGAGGGACAGACGAAACTGTTCTCAGACCAGTTGGCTGGTAGTGATTCTCCAGAGTCTCAGAGTACATCTTTGATTAAAACAATAAAAATCCAAACAGGGCAGGCTATGGATTGACTCAAGATCTTTGATGAAGAAGTTATCTGGCTGTATTGCTGAGCTACAACCCTTTTTGGTTTGGGGGAGAGAACATTGCCTGCCTACATTTAATCTCTCTCTAATTAATAGAAAATCAACAATCTTGCAGGAGGAGGAAAAAAATGTGAAAAGGGCAGAAAAGGATTAAGCAGAGCACATCCAACTGGGATCACTTTGTAAAGCCAGGCTAAGATGAAACAACTGTGCCCATCACTTTGATAATCACAAAGAGACCCTGATAATTGGCAAAGAGGAAGTTATATCTTGTCAACTGCCCAGTCTCTCTTTAGGGGTTCCAGTTTATATGGCCGTCTCAAGCATTCAAGCACAAGAACCTAGGACTCGCAGGAAGGCCTCTGCTCACATATTATGGGATGGAGCCCTAAGTCTTATGAGAGATCTCCAGCCTCTTTTTTTTTATTGCAAAAGCTGTCAGCAGTCTTGCAGATTTTGAAAGATTTCTTTGCCAACTTGGAAAACTCCCCAAATCCAGAGGAAGTCCCCAGAAAAGAGAGCTGATTATAACAGAATTGAGCTCAGTTGTCATCAACCACTGTGGTAGCCCACCTCCAGGCTGCGAGGACCCTGCAGGACAAGGATAATTCTGCGCTAGGAGATTGCACTGAGGATGATTCATCTGGCCATTTCAGAGGCTTGTTATAGCAAGCTCATTCATTAGTCGTACTCTGCCCTTTCTATCATCGCTGAAGCCTCATTTCTTTGCAAGCCACTTCAAATGCTACAGGTTGCCTACACAAAGAACAGATCCTTCTAAACAAAAGCGTGGAAACCATACACGCTGCGTGCAGAACAATTTATTTCAGACAGTCTGTGTCCAAGCTGAAGCCCATGTTTCACATGTTCTATATACAGAACAAAATGGGGCTCCTTTGTTCCAGGATAAGATGGTTGCAGGGGAAGATGGGCAAGAGAGGGAAAAAGCCAAGGATATGAGCAGCAGCTATGGGGAGGCCAGGGAAAGAGGAAAAGGAAGGCACTGAGAAAATATGGAGGCAGGGAAGCCAGTGGGATATACTATGGTTCTTCCTTACTGCAGTACATTGGTGGTGGCTGGAAGGGGGCAGGGGAAGCTATGAGATGATCAGGAGATGACAGAACTGGTGGGATAAGTCCCACTGAGACACTGGCAGTGGGGATGATAGGAAAGGACAAAATATCTTGGAAGTAATGTCTGGAAGCATTCAGCTGCTCCCCTGCTTTCAAGAGACTTTCTACATGTGTACTAGAGTGTAAAGTATTGTGATCTAAAGCACCCTTGCCTGCTTCAGATCCCAGTATTGCACACATCTAATGTGCACCTGTAAATATGTGTATATAAATGGGTATTTTGACAACATATCAAAACGCAGAACAAAAGAACTCTAAGCAGCCAGAAAGGTATTTTTGCCCGAGCAAAGTATCATTATAATTAATAACAGTGAGAAGCCTAGCAAGCTGCACCACAGATTCAGTGGATTATCTCTGGAGAAGAAAGAGTTAAGATGATTAATTTTGTCCTTCTCCAACACAGCAGATTTTGGAACATGGGCAAGACTGCCAAGACTTTTCAAGCTTGGCTTTACAGACTTTATTGTCACATAACTCAAACATATGATGCGCAAGGAGTTTACGAAACATGCTTTGTTTGATTTGGGAGCTTCTGTTGAAGCAACTGGAATCTGAAGCTCTTCCACGGAAAGGAGTACTGTAGTACTACAATGTGCTTGAATGACTGTGGGGAAGGCCCTTGGCAAATTCTGCTGAAAAGGGAATTGGAGGACACCAGCAGAAAACGCTGGTTTGACTGGAAGCTTCATTATTTCTGGCCTGTCCAACAACTCCCCTGAACGGTGCTCTAGAAATACAGCTATTAGTAGAGCAGCTTTTCCTCTGTCAAAGATTGGGGCAACACCTCCCCCCTTACTAATGAGAGCTGTGTCCATCAGAAGGTGGCAACTTAAAAAAAAAAAAAAAAAAGGAAAGAATTATATTGGATACACACCTTACAAACATATCTCTCCCCCTCCCCCCCACTTTGATGTTAATAAGGTGGACAAGTGGCACCACATGGACACTTTTAGCTTTACCTTTAAGGAACAATTGGGCTAGGTAGTACAGTGGTACCTCGGGTTACGAACGCCTCTGTTAACGAACTTTTCGGGTTACAACCA